ATACTCGAGCGGTCGGAGTACGTGTGACTTTAAAGGACGGAAGAACGATTGACGTAAGGGCCTCGAAGGAAGTAATCCTGTCGGCCGGTAGCATTGCTAGTCCGCAACTCTTGATGCTTTCGGGCATCGGGCCCGAGAAGCATCTACGCGAGATGGAAATCCCCAAGGTCGTTGATTTACCTGTCGGCAAAAACCTTCAGGATCATGTCACGTGGTTCGGCTTATATATGACCTTCAAGAACCGGAGCGCAACACCGCCATCACCTACATATATCCTAGATGTAGCTTACGAGTATTTAATACACAATCAAGGACCTCTGGCAGGTATCGGCAGTTACGACCTCATGGGTTTCGTCAATATACACGACTCGAGCGCCAAATATCCCAATATTCAGTTTATTCATGGTCACATACCACAATGGCACATACCCATGGCGACCAGTTTTCTCGACGGCATTCACATGGACACGGAAATAGCTCGAGAGATAATAGGAATCCTAACAGAGGCGGATGTGCTTCAATTTTTATCAATTCTACTAAAACCAAGGAGCGTAGGAGAGATACGGCTACGTAGCAAAAATCCAGCAGATCCGGTTAGAATTTACGCCAATTATTTTTCCAAACAGGAAGATTCAGACACGATGTTGAAATCCTTGGACTTTCTCAAGAAAATGCTCAACACCGAGACGTTCAAACAACACGAGGTGCGGTTACATCACCTAGATATTCCTGGTTGTCGTCATGCTAAACCCGATTCCGAGGAATATTGGAAGTGTAATCTGCGACATACGTCATCTACTCTCTTCCATCCTGTTGGAACGACAAAAATGGGTCCTCAGGGCGATCCCACGGCCGTTGTAGATCCTCGCCTGAAGGTTCATGGAGTACAGGGATTAAGGGTCATAGATGCGTCTATTATGCCGACGATTACCGGTGGAAATACGAATGCACCGACGATAATGATTGCGGAAAAAGGTGCAGATTTTATTAAAATGGACTGGGCGGTTATGGAAGGCAAAGACGAGTTGTAAAAGGAGTTGCAAAAGTCTTGACTTGTACTTAAGTTGCTTTTATAGGAATAAGTTGAGTTTTTTGTGCCTTTTCAGCTCCTTCATCCCCTTAGCAATTTCACGTGTCGTAGATAACAAAATACATAGATAATAAAATCAATTAAAAGTGTTTAAATAAGCATATTTAACCTTAGCTTGGCATGAATCAAATTGATCCAAGCGAAACATTTGCACAACGTATTATTCTTTTTCGAGGTTTTTAAATTTTGAAAATTGCGATTACGTAAATCTCTGAGGAGTACTTAGTATAAATCTGCAACAATCAGATTTTTTATCGGTTTTTGCTTTCGACACAGAGAGCAAATGTAATTATTGCTGGGTGAGACACGAGTGTGCCAAAAAAAAAAATAGAGCAACGTTTCAAGTGGAGAAAATAAGATTTACAAATTATTTGTCTTGTATTTTAAGATAATTATTAGAATAAATCAGTAATTTTTAATAAAAATGAGTTTTATTAAATAATAAAATAAAATTTATGCGCTCCAATAATATATAAAACAAGTTTTTTATAAATTACATCTAAATAGAAACTGCTCATGTGTGCAAAACAAAGAAAATATCAAATAAAAAGGCTAAAAAAACAAAATAAACTAGAAGTAAAATTAAAACTTTACTATAAAAACATCATTGAAAAAAATGCTAGAACGTTTTGAAACGCCGAGCCTTCTTTAGCTAGTAAAATTCTTACAAAACCAATAAAACCAAATGTAAGAATAATATAATATATTGTAATAAAATAAAATTAAATTATTAAATTATTAAATTATTTTAAAAATACAACAGTTAATAAAGACAACGAATTATAAACAATAAGAGGTTATATTCACAAAATTCTTTGACAATTACCTATGAACTACTTAAGTTATTGCGATTTTGAGGCATCTCTCCTTGAAATCAGGAAGCGCACAGTTTTAATTTTACATCTAGTTGTTTTTTTTGTGTTCATTTCTTGGCCTTTTGAGATTTGATACTTTCCTTTTTTATGTTACAAACAATTTTATATATTATATATTATAATTTTAATAAGATGTATGTTATATATAAAAATATATTCTATGATAATAAAATATTAAAACTTCGCAACAGAATACTATATAATTATTAAAAACTGTAAATTTTATTATTCTAAATTAGATATTAGTGACCTCCTTGCAGTTTTTCTGTTGACATTAAAGAATTGAATTAACGATTTTTTTTTAAAGTAATATCAACAAGTTAAATTATAAGATCCCATAATTATTAAATCTTGACTATTGCAAATGCAGACATAGTATCTTTTTTTCTTAAAGTATGCAAACTTACTCACTTAATTGCAAAACACTATCTTTTCACACTAAAAATCCAGTTTACAAATAATAATTAAGATAAATTTACATTATTATAATATCTTGTTATATATTATTTCAAATATTAATATAAATTATATGTATGTATATTCAAGCACACGATTTTGTTAGACCAGCTATGTCTGTGAATACATTCATAATTTGCTGTAAATACATTCGTAACACAACGTATTTCATAAAATTAAAAATTTCACATTCTTTTGAATTTAAATTTCATTTTCCATCTTAGATCAAATATGTGTAACACCTTTATTACTAGCCTTACTTTAAGTTTTAATATTTAAGATCAACCGCGCACTTTGTGGAACAAGGATAAGGGAAAGGTGATATGTGTCTTAGTGAGGTAGTGGTAAGTCTTCATAGTTTATACAACCAACATAATGCTTAAAGTCTCAGTCTTTCGCTTTCTCTGCCACGTTAAACTGCTCGATCGCGCAACATCGTTTTAATGCCACGTGCACCTACGTGATTCTTTTATCTTTTTGTCGAGACAGTTCTTGTATCAGTATCATGATGAAGAATAATACTTTTGTTGAAGAAAAGAAAATGGTCGATTTTTGTTATCGCGCACCGTAATGCTCTCTCTTTCGTAAGTTGTATATATGTATATATAATACATAAGATGTATATACATAAATATTAACGAAAGCAACTAATGTATCATTATTTTCAATTTCAACAGATCACAATGCAATGAAAAGTTTAATTTTTTAAAGCTTATCCTCCTACTTACAATGTGTTTTCAATTAAACCAATGTTTCGAATTGAAACTAATGCATGAAGTGGAAATGTTTCGTAATTGTTCCTCAATATATACGCTCTTAATTAAAGATAAATTTATGAACATTTTTAATCATATTTTTTAATCATTTATATATTCGTTTTGGACAAAATTTTAATCTGAAACGTTATAGAATTTATTATCAAGCGCTATACTAAATAAAGAAATACAAATAGCAAAGATAAAAATATATTGATGAAACATTTCAAGCATTTATTACTAATCAATCACCTATATTAATATTTAAAATTATTCTTGAGCAATTTATGTTAGAAGGTGAAATATTTTAGAAATGTGAAGGAGGATGTACCTATAGTATTTGAAGTTTGCAAAGCCATCTTTTACCTACGTATCCTTTAGCCAATTTGGAATCTCTATTCATAAAGAGTTTTTTAAGGAACATTTCTTTTCATAAGTTATAATTTATTATTAGATTACAACATGGCTGATGATCGATGAAAAAGTTTTCGAGAAAACTACATTTTGAGATATATAGCAAGCAGAAAAACTTTAGTTCTTGTTTAATTCTCATTTCAAGCAAACTTTAATATGATCTATATGATTAATTACAATCATATTTATTATTTAATATTAAAAATTAGAAAATTAGAAATTTGGAATAACTGATGATTCTCCTTGATATTATCGTTAAACAAATCGAGTTAATTCTAAATTGATCAAGGATTTTAGAGATAAAAAATTCGTAAGTTTTCTAAGTTTGGGAGGGGAATAATTCAAACAATAATTTCAGAAACAATTTTTCGAAAACAATTTTATAGTAAAAAAAGAATAGATATATCCTTACTCTCAGTTCTTTCAAAAAACTTTTAATAAATGTAAAATGAAAACTGTGTGATTTCCAGGCTAACTTTCTAAATTGTTGCAATATTCATATGTGCATATATACATATAGGTATATATATAATGTCCAATAACGTGACGGTTCGGTAACGGTCTCTAGATTCAGATTATTTTAGTCTTTCAATACTTGTGGTGCTTTTTAAAATCATTTCTCTATTAATGCCCCGAATTTCACTCATTTATACTGTTTGCTGAGATTGCTTATTATTTGCTTGAGAGCTACTTAAAGGGCTACTTAATATTAAATACGCTACATGAATGCCGGTTCAAAGTGAGTTATGTAAAAATCAGTTGCCCAACTTCTGATTTCAATTTCACCTTATCGAGAAGATCAGCCATCTGATAGTTTCGAAACGGAACTATGTAAGCCAAGGATATAGAAACAAATTAATTATCTATTAATGCCGTCAATATATTTTTATATTTTTTATAATACAAAATGTTGTAAGTCAACAATTTATTTTTCGAATAGCAAAATATGCGTCATTTTGTGAACATCTAATTAATTAAAAATTAAATCCTCATTGGTCACCTCGATTTCATAGATGGAATTTTCTTTTTTGCTGTTACAATGAAAAAAAATTGATATTAGATTATACAATGATGATTGGATTGACAGCTATGTACACATTGAACGTTTACTTGAGAAAAAAAAGAATATCATAGAAATGTATCGTTAGAAAGATAAAAATATAATATCATTATCAAAGAATCAATAATTATAGGTATTCTAATAAGTAAAATAGATTTTTATTTTGTTTTCAGATTTTCACGCAAGGTCTCGAGAAGAAAAGTGTTCCGACAAATTTTTATAATTAAAGCATGTAACATAAGAGTTCTGTGATTTGTCATCATTAAGTAATTTCTGTTACAAATGTTTCTAAATTTTTTTATGGCTGTGTGGATTTGCACATAATTGCAACCACGAGCAACTATGAAATCACAAGATCGAGACGTACGATAAAAGATAAGGTATTTATCTGTTATACTGAATAGAGATAGTTGTTATAAAATACAATCGGAAAAAACCTATACATGCAGAGAACGTATTCGTGAACTTGGCTACTTGAATGTGTAAGTTTCGGACAAGATCAATAGTAATCAAGAGCACGACCAGAGCGAGAGATGAGCGTCGCGACGGTGGTCGGCGCCGCTATCAAAACAGCCACTGTCCTCCTTGGCGTCGGTATTGGTAAGATAACTATAATCCCAGTGCTGATTGCCGCGCTCGCATACTTCAATTATGATCTTATGGACCCGGAAAACCATCCACGCGTGACGAAGCAATTAAGGAAAGATTACGACTTTGTTATCATCGGTGGTGGTTCAGCTGGCAGTGTGCTAGCCAATAGGCTAACTGAAAATCCTGAATGGAGTGTACTATTATTGGAGGCCGGAGGTCATGAGACCGAAATAACCGATGTGCCGATACTATCACTATATTTGCACAAGAGTAAACTCGATTGGAAGTATCGCACACAGCGGCAGGATACGGCATGCCAGGCGATGGTCGATCGCCGATGCTGCTGGACTAGAGGCAAGGTAGGTATATTGTAAAATAGACATCGAGCCAAACTCAAGTTCTGAGAGCTAGAAAAAGCTCAAGCTACTAAGATAGTTAGGAATATCATGTAAAAAATATCAAGAATAAAATAAAAAAATAAAAGTTCTATCTTATGGCTGTAGAGAGTTTATAGATACTTTGGAGAAGTGCGAGAAGAAAAATGTATCCAAATAAAAGATTTCAGATATTTCGAAAGTATTCACTGTCAAACGATTTATATTAATTTACAATATTTACATTATCAATATACTCTATTACCAAGATATTAAATCATTGAAGACTCGCTGATCTCGAGTTAATTGCGTTCAAAACGAAATTAACAATTATTACAACAACGTTGTGAAGTGTCGAGGGTCAAGTATACATGCGTGGCACGAAGCTAGAGTGAAAGTAATTCTTCGTTCCATTACTCATTGTCAATGTACAAAATTTCTTGTACTACGAATGCACATCAATTATTTTATATCGCAATTTAATTTCTAGATGCAAAGTAAGAACAAAAGAAATGAAATGCATATATTGGAGATCGTATTGACAATAAGAAGTCAAATTAATTAATTTGTTCGCCTGACCGAATGCTACTATTTTACTTTGTGCAATCTTCGATTAAATAACATTTCAGGTGCTTGGAGGCTCTAGCGTCCTGAATACGATGCTTTACGTGCGAGGAAATCGGCGCGATTTTGATCAATGGGAGAGTTTCGGAAATCCTGGTTGGGGATACGAAGATGTACTCCAGTATTTTAAAAAGTCAGAAGACCAAAGAAATCCGTATTTAGCACGCAATACAAGATATCATGGTACAGGTACGCTTCTTTGTTGCGCATTTCTGCATTTATCGTCACATGTATTATTTAAAAAAAAATCATCCTTAAGGCGATGTTGAACGACAGTCGAACTTGATGATATCACTGTTTTACTTTCCGATGATTTGTGCGTATATATGCGTGTAGTATTGATGTAGTGATGTGTTTATGTTTACTACCACATCAATATCACGCACACGCTACTACTTCTCTTATGCGTACAAAATTTAACTTTTATATGCAGCACATGTTGTCACGAGTCAACTGCAGAAACCGATAATTTTCTAATTTGTTTCGTTTTTTGCATCAAATTGTAGTAGCCGCAGTCTGTTATTGTCAATACTTTAATTCTGGAAACGGATTTATAATTCTGTAAAATCAATTAAAAAAATCAACTTATTCGAAATAATCGTATTCAATTGATAAAACAGACCTATGTTCAGCATCGCCTTAAGGCGGTAAAGCAAATTGAACGCAATTATTTTTAAATTCACTAATCTTTTTATTGATTTCACAAAATTATGTACCCTTTTCCACTTTGTTTATATTAAAATTTTTAAGTATAGACAATAACGGAATGTGGATGATGCAATTTTGTAGGAAAAAATTGTCAAAAATTACAGTTTTGTAATCGATTTCTATAGCGTCGACTCGTAACAACATTTGCTTGGTATAAGAGTTTTAGATTTTATACGTATAAAAACTGTAAAACATTCTTATTCGGGATTATATGAAAGAATAATACTGTGTTTTTACTAATGAGCCTATAGGTGTTTCAGTATAGAGAAAGATGAATTTGAAAATATTATTGTATATATTGCGTGGGACGTATGTAATAATAAACATTAACACGTCACTATACATTACTACACCAATATCTCACACATACATATGCATAATTGTATTGGATAAAACAGCGTCGCCATAGAATTCGGCCGTCCTTCTAGCATCGCCTAAATGCTTCATGCGCGCGCGCGCGTGTGCGTGTGTGCGTGTGTGTGACGTGACAAATATATATTTTTTATTCTTTTCGAAACCCTCTTTTCCCAGGAGGATACTTGACCGTGCAGGACAGCCCGTATGTCACTCCATTGGGCGTTGCATTCCTACAAGCAGGCGAAGAAATGGGCTATGATATTTGTGATATCAATGGAGAGCAGCAAACTGGTTTCGCCTTTTTCCAATTTACAATGCGACGCGGTGCTAGGTGCAGCACCGCTAAAGCATTTGTGCGACCCATTCAACTGAGAGAAAATTTTCATCTCTCTCTGTGGAGTCACGTGACTCGAGTGTTGATTGATCCACAAAGAAAAAAGGCATATGGAGTAGAGTTTATCAGAGACGGTCGTAAAGAAGTAGTATTCGCCAAGAAAGAGGTGATTCTTTCGGCCGGCGCTATTAATAGTCCACAATTGCTAATGCTTTCCGGAGTAGGGCCACGTGCACATTTGGAGCAATTGGGAATTCCCGTGATTGAAGACTCACCCGGAGTCGGGCAGAATCTACAGGATCACATAGCGGTTGGTGGACTCGTTTTCCCAATCGATTACAAGATTAGCATCGTGATGAATCGAATAGTGAATATTAATTCAGCGCTAAGATATGCCATTACCGAGGATGGCCCGTTGACGTCCAGTATCGGCCTCGAGGCGGTCGGCTTTATTTCCACCAAATATGCCAATCAGACCGATGATTGGCCTGATATCGAGTTCATGTTGACATCCTCGGGAACTAACTCTGACGGTGGCGGCCACGCGAAGAACGCTCACGGTTTAACTGATGAATTCTATAACGAAGTGTTTAGTAAAATCAACAATCATGATGTTTTCGGTGTTTTTCCGATGATGTTGAGACCCAAGTCGCGCGGTTATATCAGACTGAAATCTGCGAACCCTTTAGATTATCCGCTACTCTACCATAATTATCTCACTCATCCAGATGACGTGGCAGTGCTTCGCGAAGGAGTCAAGGCGGCTATCGCCTTTGGCGAGACCAGTAGTATGAGAAGATTCGGCTCTAGATTTCATAGCAAGCCATTACCTGGTTGCAAGCATATTGCACTGTATACCGACGAGTACTGGAATTGCGTTGTCAGACAATACACGATGACGATATATCATATGAGCGGCACCGCCAAAATGGGCCCGCCCATTGACCCAATGGCGGTTGTGAATTCAGAGCTAAGGGTTTATGGAGTTGAGGGCTTGCGAGTGATAGACGCATCTATTATGCCGACAATTACTAGTGGCAACATCAATGCGCCCGTTATAATGATCGGCGAAAAGGCGGCTGATATGATAAAGGCAAAATGGACAAGATAAACTCTCATTTCCAAAGGAACAATGTCACTGTCGCTGCTTTTTGACACGCGGCTCTCGATCAATTGCGTAATCGCAATGTAATATAAAGACGCATGGCTAAGTAGAAACAAATAGCTTTATGCATATTTTCGTGAAAAAAATTTAAAAAATAAAAAGAAGACAAGAAAGCGTTACGTATTCATGAGTTTTTGTTCAGATTTCAACGAAACTATGCTATTTTGAATGTGATTTTTTCCATCAGATTAGTTTGAAATTAACGTTTGCAAGTGATTCAGTACATAGAAAAATATAAGAAAACATTAAGCATTAAAAAAGGTTCTATCGCTTGGACCAAAATTTGATTATTTTATCTATCATCCTTTAAGATCCGAATAGCTTATAAGAAGAAAGCAAACAAACAAACAAAAAGAATATAAATGTTACACGTAAACGTGCGATATTTGTAATATTGAATTATCCTTGACTAAAATTTTTCACGTATAGGGTTCAAACATTAGAAATACAGTTTACGTTCAATAAAGCGCTTTACGTACTCGTATATGCCTAACGCAATAACATAATAACAACACAAACCGACTTGTGCATCCGATTTCGACAATTATTTTCGAAATTTCTACCACTTCAGAAAAAAAGAGAGTATTTTCATTGGATATACAATTACAGATTGAAAAAAATCGTTAAACATTCGTTTATTTGAGGCAAGACGCTAGTGTCTCTTCATTATTTATATCAATAGAGATATATTGTAAAAGCATCTTATAAAAGCACTGACCTGATCAGACTGGTTGACATACTTGATGTTACATGAAAATGTTGTTGATAAAAACATTATTCCGTAACTGTTTCGAAATATTCACATAATTAAATTCTAGATACTCGCGCGAAGACTGTCGACAAGATGAGTAATTATATAAATGTTGCATATGAAATTTGTCATAATTGTACCAAGAATTATGCCGGCGAGTCTTCATTATGCATATAAAGATGTTAAGTGAGATAAGAATCCATCAATGGTGAATGTGTTCCACTTTTAAGACAAAGATGATTATATTATAAATAAAAGTAATTTTGCTGATACATAATATCTATTTAAACTATAAAACTTCCTTGAAATTCTTGTTCCGCAATTGTTTCGATTTCGAAACGTTAAATTGTTATTAATTATTTTCGCATTTAATTATTTTAATATTAATTTTAAGTCTCTGTAGAAAATATATAGACAATTGTAATGCATAAAATTAAAAATTTCTTATATATATATATATATATATATATGACAATCTTTAGTAAGCACATAAGCAAATGATATAAAAAATGTTATTTTCTCTCTATATAAAAGCGGCAATCTATAATCTATTGCAAGGATTACATACGAATGAGAAAATTGTGCGAATTAGCATTTCTAAGATAGAAAACCGATATGAAAATTTGCTCGATCAGATCGCGTAAAGTGCATCAGCCGTAACTAATCTGCCATTGCGTCAGATCTACTATGCTCTCCATTGTAACAACATGGCACACAGTACAAACTGCTGTAATTGCGGTTCTATAGTAATCAATTATCGATCCATCCATACAAAGTTGCTGCACATACTGTGTACAATGACACAAATATGTTACCATAATGATTTTGTGTAAGCTCAGGCAAAAGTATACATGTACACGTTATGCAACACTTTTACGGTTATCATTAAAAACTACGTAGACGCGTCGTTAAAAGTTGAGTGGTTAATAAAAAATTTAACATTGGTTATTTTTAATTGGTGATGCGATACACAAAATACAAGATGCAATAATTAACGTTACTCGACTCGTAACAGAACGTAAATAACGCAAATAAATTTGAAACAAACAATATACATATATATATACATATAAAGTGTATATATATATATATATATATA